GATTAACCCCACAACTTGCAAAAATGAACGAGTTTTCGAGGTCCTCCCAGTGGAGAGTAAGTAGTAAGTACTGAAGTGAAAAAACACGCTACGTCAGGCGTTAGCATCCGCTTAAAATCGACACAGTACTTGAATGGTCACAGCCATGGCCTGCCTTAGAGTAAAACCCATTGTAAATGAGATTCTAGCCTTTGAAACACTATCCTATTAGTTAGTTCTACAGAATCAGCTCCGAACTGAAGGCACAGTTCGAGATGGTTAGACGGGCGGAGTTGGGCTTTTTACTGTGTCCTCTCTACTGGGGAACTCCGCCTTTCCAACTATGGAAGTGACGAGAAAATGGCAGAGACGTGGCTGTAGGCCCGGCCCCGATGAAGTATTCTTATTCAGCTTTCATTTTCCAAGTGCTATACCGAATCTCTGAACGACGCATGGTTTGCCCAGCCTTGCGGTTCCGATCCAACGCCATTCGTAGCCACGGCGTTATCTCCACTATAGAATTAAGTCAAAGGTAAACAATTCGCTGAATTGAACATTTCAGGAATTACAACCGCTTCCCGATGGAAAATATCACATTGTCAGAAGAGTCGTTGAAACTGGACAACCTCCCAACCTACCACCCGGTCACGGAGGCCAACAGAGTTTTCCTTATCCAGGTGGAGGTCAGCAACCTGGAGGAGGTCAGCAACCCGGCTCATCGTACCCCGGTCAGCAACCTGGCTCATCCTACCCTGGTCAGCAACCTGGCTCATCCTACCCTGGTCAGCAACCTGGCTCATCCTACCCTGGTCAGCAACCTGGCTCATCCTACCCTGGTCAGCAACCTGGCTCATCCTACCCTGGTCAGCAACCTGGCTCATCCTACCCTGGTCAGCAACCTGGCTCATCCTACCCTGGTCAGCAACCTGGCTCATCCTACCCTGGCCAGCAACCTGGCTCATCCTACCCTGGTCAGCAACCTGGCTCATCCTACCCTGGTCAGCAACCCGGCTCATCTTACCCTGGCCAGCAGCCGGATTCTCCATATTCCGATCGAGACGAGCCACCCAGCTCAGTACATGCCCCTGACCCTGGAGAACCACCAAGCGTGCCAGATGCTGAGGGAAGACCGCCAGCCACCTTCCCACACTATGGAGGAGGAGCCCCGCCTTCACACCCTCAACATTATGGCAGTGGAGATCGTGAGGTTCGTTTATTGCTCTTTTACCTAAATTTTTCGTATTTTGAACGTTTATCTTCTCCAGTAATATTTCAATTTTTACATAAACTAATTTCGTAATTCACAACTGTTGAACCTACCCGAACTCCTTGCAGTCACATCAGCAGTACCCTTTCCCATTTCAGACCCTCCCACCAATCCAGTACGACGAAACCTGGTATGAACCGCCTGGCCAGGGATCTTACCCAAGACTGGTAAGTCTTAATTTCAATCATAGTTTCGCTACCTGTTGAGCTGAAGTCCTCAAAGGCACATTCCGCGATGAGCGCATAGGCACGGAGTGGGCGGAGACTTCCAACCAAAGCACCGTTCTCAGTGGATGACCTCTCCTTTCAATGAGGTGGAAAGGGACACGCTCGGCAATGGGGGACGCACATTAGGCATAAGGTATGGTCGTCTGCCGCCCGACAATTTACGCCATTCGGCTTTCGCGGAATTGCCTTTTGGCGTGAGATTCTGCCAGGAAAATAGTCGTGTTGTCTCCATCGCTCTTCATGTTGCTAGTTGTTCTCGCCCCACCATGGTTGGCGTGAGATGACGGAGGACGAAGTTCGAAGAGTAAGACGAATTCAGCCGCTCGCGGATTACGATCCGCTGCTTTCTAAACCCGTTGATAGGCTCCCCGATCAGAATGGTAGGACTCCGCCAGGAGCTGGTTCCAGCGATCTCGCCAAACTCATGCCTCATCCTTCATGGCCATCCACCTCATCGCTCACGACATCCCACTCCCCAGATCCTCAACGTACCATTCCACCCTCATCCCGGCCATCCACCCCATCCTCACGATCATCATCATCAACATGACCCACGCGTTCATGACCCACGTAGAGTGCCTTCTCCTCAGAGTCCCGATTCTTCGGATGAGGAAGTTAATCCCATGGTGGAAACGCAGTGACAAGTATAATTATGGACGCACGTGGATTCTGCGAGATGGTCGATGGCATCCAGAAGATGGAAGTGAGCCTGGAAGTGACGAACGGCGAGCTCCCTCTATGGGAGACCCTGTTGATCCACGTGGGGAATGGGTCTACCGAGACGGAATGTGGCATCGTCGTGAACCACACCATCAGCATGAACAGCAACAACCACACCATCAACACGATCAACGGCAACCCCACCCTCAGCATGAAGAACGACAGCCACACCATCAACATGAACAGCAACAACCACATCATCAACATGAGCAGCAACAACCACATCATCAACATGAGCAGCAACAACCACATCATCAACATGAAGCAGCAACAACCACACCATCAGCCCGAAGAACGCGCCCGACCCCTCAACCCGAATCCGAAAGAACAAGCACTGACGGATGGGTGATGAGAGATGGCAATTGGTACCGCGATCCAGAGTACCAGGAGGAAGGAGGGGATGCCCCAGGAGGCGGAGAACGAGCAGGAGATGGATGGGTACTACGAGATGGAATATGGTATTACGAACCGCAGAACCTGAACGAAGCAACGACCACTGTTCCACAGGGCGGTGGAGGAGGTGAAAGAGCTGGAGATGGTTGGGTATTGCGCGATGGGACATGGTACTATGAACCGGACCATCACCATCAAGTCCCACATGCACGTATTCCCGGACAAACTCATCATGATGGCGGAAAATGGGAGTACATCGATGGAACATGGCATTTTGTCACCCATGGCCATGGACAAGGTGAACATGACCAGCCTAGACATGAGGGCGGTCATATGGCCCATATGACACACCGGAATCACGATGACAAAATGGTCAAGGTGAGAAAGGTTCACGTCCCAGACCATGGAGATCATAGCCAAAAACTGGTAGAGAAAGTTGTCAACCCGGTAACAGGCGAAGTTGAAGGAGGGGCAAGCAGCAATGATAGCCCTGTTGATTACCGAAATTGGTCTTACTCGTACTACGAGCAAGGCGGTAATCCCGAGGGCGATGGTGAGATTTTTGAAGCAGATTTGATAGAAGCAAGTGGACAAGCTCCAGCAGAACGTCACGGATCACCCCAATACATCGAAAGGGGCAATATGGCAGCTGTTATCTACAGTGATGAGGGAGAGCCCGAGCCGGGTATGGCGCACTCATCCTATTTCATTAGAGATGGTAACGTTGGTGCAATGGTCTATACCGAAGGTGAAACCGAAGAAGGCCACGGAATACCTCAAGCCAGTACAGGTGATGGGTTCCTGCCAAATGGCCCTAATGTGCTATCTGTGGACGACTTCAAACGTCTTCACCCCTCACCCGGATTACTGCCCATGCAACAAGGAGTGGAGCACCTTTCCTGTGATGGAATGAACGCTGCCGAGGGTACAGGAGAATATTGGCTATTACGAACCACACCATGTGGGGAGAACGCTCCAGAAGGTCGTATTCTTATGCCAAATGGTGAAATTTTGAAATTTTACGGCTATCCGAAACTCGTCCAAGCATAGAGGCCATCGTCGATCTCATATGGCCATTACGCAATACTAACTACGCAGTAGTATTACTTGTATACAGCTTTTATGTGTGTGTGTTTTGTTGATATCTTCTCCGTACAGAGATAAATGTATTATAAAAATGTTTAGTAACATTTTTAAATTTTTTGGGATTTATTGAGGCGAAAGTGGTGTAGTGGCAAGTGGCTCACTTACCACGCACGGTCGAGGGATGAAGTCCCCGATCTCCCGCCCAGCCCAACCAAGCCCTCCGAAAAAACGGTGGATTGGTAGCAGATTCGTGGCGAGAGGAAATGCAGCTTGATTTCTACACAGGCAGGTCCCCCGCAAGTCGATTGTTATAGCCCATGTTCGCTGCTCCAGACGCTCAAGAACGCGTTACTAGTGGGGTGCTGGGCTCCAGAGGCCGGAGAGGTGGACTTTGGGCGGGCGCGCCCACAGCCCGCTTTCAACCAAGTTGTGTCGCGTGGCCGCCTCCAACAATATAGTGGGAGAACATGGCTGGCGCTAGCCAAATCTAGCCCTCCGAAAGACGCTCAGAGTCCGCCAGCGGTCAAAAGTGCTATCCACACTAGAGACGGGAACATCACGCGCGGCCCCCAAACCAGCTAAGGCGGGTTAAGCAACGAGATACGCCCTATGACGACGCGCAAAAAGTAGCTGCAGCAGCTCCGCGTGGAACAATTAGCGTCCTGGTGCGAGTGTCGCGCAAGCGATACCACGCGGTGTAGGTTTACTGGAGCCGTACTAGCTAGAACCTGACGAAAACCCACCCTGCCGCTCACTTCAAGAGGGGTCGGGGGGGGGGTCAGGAGGACCGAACAGCGGAACTCAATTAGATCGCGTCACCTGCCGCAGCGCACTAGTTGCTTCGGGGCGATGCGCACAAGAATAGCTTGTGGCCCCAGCTATGTTTTAGGCCAAAGGCATGCTTTATTGTAGCGCTTTACCGTGAAATCATCAATTAGATCCCGGTGCGATCCCGTGTACGCGACGTCGTTTTCGCCACAAATCAGATCTGGTCGACTCTCGCTGGTACATTATCAATCAAATGATCACAAGACTAAGTCCTACCTAACGCAACCTGTAGTTTTGAACAAATAAGCAACCAAAAGATTCGACGATTTTGGGCAGGAGTCGACTGCATGGCGTACGCCGAAAAAAGCAATGACGAGCCATGTTACTGCTTTCTGCAAACTTCGTTCAAAGCGACTCTTATCAGTAATCAACGCAAGACTTTGCGAATTCTTGCCATTCCACTGACAGATAGGAAGGCCACGCTTCCCAGGTGAAACTATCAGGAAGTATTGGAATACAAGGGTACAATCAATGAATCGCCTTTTATTGATTTATTGATCTGATAAAGTATGATTCATCGCAACAAATACATGAGAAATAACAAAAAAAACATCACAACTACCGGTATCGGTCGATATAAACACACTGAGATCAATGGCAGTCAGCTGGAAAACCACAAGAGAGCAAGAAAACTTCTTTAAAAATGTACGTCGAACAACTGCGCCGCAAGATTACGTAGTAGCCGTTGTGAAGCGCCTTGACTGCTCTCTTGACAGTACATCACGTCCTTCAGGGTTCATACAACTACGGTAGGCGAATGAAAACTGGAAAAGGAGCTACTCTATCGTCTAACCTTGCATTTGTTTATTACTTCTCAAATACACGGAGAGGCACCAAATTTTTGTGCAAAAGAATCCAAAAACCGCCAAAAATTCCGACCATCTCTACATCTTCGAGATCCAGCGCTATGTGCCTCGGTAAGGGCCACTCTCTGAATTCGCGGCGTACTCTGACGTAACGAAGCCACGTCTTGCTGTCTCGGTAAAACATAACAGTAGTTAGGTTAAGCTCATCGTGTTCTGAGCTCAGCTGGGCCATGTCAGAACATATGATGCTATCTCGGCAAGAGGCACAAGGACAGGCAGACAACTCTTGGGCAGCCCAAACATAAAGAAAAAACCTTTGGGTAGAGCACGTCCCCGGCGTTAGGGGCAGAGTACTCTGAAATCATGACGCCCATGCGACCCTCTCCATCTCGTCCCCTCTCGGCAGCACTCCTTCCCCCCCTAGACCCGTCGAGTGGGGATCATAAGGGAGAGGGGTTGAGATCTTCTACGACTGCGTACGCAAGAAATAGTTGACATTACGACCGCCGAATAAACAATCAAAGAATATTTTCGCAAACGCAAATACGGCCCTCCTCGCCACTCCAACAGCTGGAATGACCCTCTTTTCATGCGTTGGGGATTTCCCTAACGTACGACGTGCCCTGCTCCCGAGGCACATAGCGCCTGAGCTCCACTGAGCATAGCGCTTGATCTCCTTTAAACATCTAGAAGCGCCTGAGCCCTTTGAACACTTTGAGCTCATTTGAATAAACGATTTCTGTTGGGGGTTTTGGACCAGCACAATACTGAGACATTTTATTTTTTATTATCTACCACTTGATTTTTATTGATTACCAATTAATTTTTTTCATAAAGTAACGTACCAATAAATCGGCACTCGGTTCCATGTGGTTCCTCTCGTAAATATCCGATAACAGCTCAGCCAATGTGTTATCGAACACCATACACGAATAGTTAGCACCAGCATCGAGTGATATTTGTGAAAAGATAAGCTGAAAAAAACGAGTAAATTTTTCCCCCAAGAATACTTGGCCCAGGCCGCCACCGCCAGTGCAATACTACTCCAGCTTGCTAAACTGGTGCATTGATAGAAGGCCCTGTTACACCCCGTGAACCAAATTTCAAGCCGGGTACAACTCTGTTTCACGTTGTGAATCTCGTCAAGATCAGCTAATAGCTATGAGATGCCAAGCGTTTGGTACAACCATTTTCGCTGCAGACCAGGTCAAAGAGGCTGAGTTTGGTGCGATGCGAGCCCGTTTACCACCAATTTTCGCTGCTTGCCCGGTTTAGCAATTGATGAAGAACGAGCTGGCGTCGCGCCAAACCCAGCCCCTTAACACGCCTCAGCGTCTGCAGCGCAAACGACTATGTTGTGGGTAAAAGCCTCGACCGTCAGCGGGACTCGAACCCACCTTCCGCTTTTCAAGCAAGTACGCTATTCGTTACGACAATGAAGTGTCATTTTTTTTTGTTTTTTCTGGTATGGGTTGTTCAAAAAGTCGCAGGACTTTTCAATCCCATTAATTCGCAGTGTGAGGTTCGGAGCTTCCCATTCCAAACTCCGTACTATACTGACCCCTTTCCAGCGACAGCGCCGGCATAAATTATGGCACACGCGCTGGCGCTTCTTCTGAATGGCCTGATCAGAACTGCTGATGTCCCAGCTCATTCTATGGCTACGCCACCTTTACCCAGAATTTTTTATAGCCCATCATATTGCATCGCATTTTTGAAGGATTTCTTGAGCTGAGGTGTTTTGGCGCCAGTGCTTGTGGGGGAATCAGACGGATTGTTGAAGGGGTCAAACTGCCGCAATAATGAATTCCTGGTCAAACTCGAATCTTAGCCCAAATTTTAAAAAAATGGAATGTTAACGGTGTTAACAATGCCCCCTTTTTACCAGCTGTGTTTTACAAGTTTACACCTAGTGACAACAGATTGTAAAGAGCTCCTACTCACGCCAAGCACACACCTCGTTAGCCTTCCAAGTGCATATTTCTTCTTCAGCTTTACACCCAATGACATGTGTCATCGAATTCTTCTGACCCGATTTTTTAGCGCTAAGCCATCAACGTGAACCCAGACGAGATGATTAATGACCAAGATAAGGGACGTGCTCAATCAAACTGCCCCGTGCCTAGCGTATCACGTTATTTTTGGATTTGCGATACGACCCACTCCCTTGTGATGCCCCTTCGAACAATGAAATGGGTGATCTTATCAGAAAATCGAATCAGATCACAAAATTTTGCTGACTACCGTCCAGGGACGGGAAGTATTTTGGGCGCAATACGGTTTGGTGGAGGCATTTTGCTGGTTCCCATCGATCACTGCCGATGCTCCCTCTGGCAACCTGCAAATACTTGTGAAGCTATGCATGAGCACGAGCTCGCTTGAACTTGACAAGAATCTACAGGTCTCACCAGGTGAGATGTGTAATTTGAGAAAGAACTAGCAAAAGGAACTAGTAGACGTGCAAAATGCCCCTCCCAAGCCGAACGGCACCTTATTTTGCAAGCTTTCACATTCCATAAAACCTCACCTCCATCGCCTTTATATACTCGTCCTCTTTTTTATGCTCGATCATTTGACAAATCAGAGCTGCCAAATAGAAATATTGTGAACGTGACAAGCACACTCGAAGCCGACGCCAAATCTGTAAAGTATACAAAAAATCACTAAAATATATATAGAGAAAAAAACCAAACCAAAATATACATGAAGAATTTTGTCTTCACTCAAAGCCAGCACACCCTCTCGGCTAACACACCCAACAACTGTGCCTTTCCCGTTTATGCGACTCCTCTTCACCGTTTTAGAAGAGGGCGCCAATAAGAGAAGTACAACAAATGGTTGCCTCCGCCCATATAACCAGCGTGAGCTAAGTTTCTAATCAAACATATCCCATATGGACCACGGAATTCAGTGCACAGCTCAGAACACGCGACTTTTCTACCACTCTAGATTCATCTATCTTGGCTACAGCTTAGGTCATTTGGCCAAAAAATTCCACTTAATTCAGAAAATGAAAAAAAATGAAATTTTCATCAAAAGAAACATACCAAATCCTCCACTTGACTATCCTGCGGTGATAATAGCAACGGTTGTCGAGAAGCCAGCAAATATTCCATGTATAGTATTCCAGCCTCATTAAGAAGACCTCTCCCTGAAGACAACACAACAGCACTTTATAGAGCACCATTCCAGGGCAACTATGCAACAAGTAGCTCGGGGCCCAGGTTAGGATATCTTCGCAGCGAAAAAGCGCAGCGAGATGCTAAAGTTTTTCTAGCTAGTTTTTCCTCGCTGCAAATATCGCGCACGTGACGCCATGGCACCGCCTTTCAGACCTCTTGACCACTACCTGGGATGCTTCATCGGTATCGGCTACTGATGCACGTGGGTTAATCAAAGCCACACTGGATGAAACCTGTCCAAAAAGGCAATCCATCATTCCCGGTTGGGCGCAGGTCAGGAGATCCGAATTAGGACTATACGCAGAAATGCAGCTCGTGCGATTTTCGTGGCCGACGGGAAGGTTTGCTGCAGCAATTGCAGATGAAATCAATTAGGTCCTGGAGCGAATTCCGCGCGTGCGAATCCGTTTCTGACGATGCTCGCCGCAACGCTGCGATGTGGATTCTTCCAAGTCACATCCATTCAACTGTGTTGAGGACAAGGGAGTTCCCACATACAATACCCGCCGTAATTGTTCGAAAAAAAAAACGAAAAACGCGGATCCGCGTTTTTTCGTTTTTTTCGCTGTAACTCAATTTGGGTATTCCCTTTCTCATATGGAATCCTATTACCGGTTAGACTCAAGTTTGAATTGAAAGCAACATTGCCTAGAGCCACTCCTCACGAACCTTCTGCGAAATAGAGAAAGAAGTGGCCACAGCGGGTGAAATTACTAAGACTGATCAATACAATGGCCTGACACTTCGATGGGATAACTAATTAGGAGGTCGATTGACCGCAGACAGGGCAGGTAGCCGGTGGAAACAAGGACGGGTCATAGAAAGCTTTATGAGGTGATTCTCATATGAATAGATAACATTTTTCATAGGGATTCAAATGGTTCTACTTTGACAGTGGTTTTCTTTCTTTGGAAAAGGCGCAATTTTTGTTCTGAAATGAAGACTTGAAGTTGGAACCCGCGGTAGTAGCAACCAATTCGCGCTACATGTCACTGTTTTCCACCGTGTTTTTGGAAAACACAAGCCCTTCCGTACGTATCTCTTTTATGGAATTTACGGTACCACTCAGAGCGCTGAAAATCCTGCTTGAAAACGCTTCAATTCGAGTATTGGCCGTAGTATCGCGCGATGCGCTCACTTCAAGTAGCTAAAAACCCTTCTTTTTCACTTCATTCTTAACTTTTGCGAATACTGAGGAGAACAGGGTCCCATGCGTTAGGCTCATTGTGTTTCTGTAGTTCTAAGTGAACCAGAGCTCGAGATTCTTCAGACTGAAAAGGCTGTCTCGTAGGAAAACGACATCTCGCAAAACCTGCCATTTTCAGAAAAATTGACACCGTTACGATCAGCACAATTTAGAAAATTCAACTATCCGATTTCTAATCAATTCTTAGGTCATACAGTACGCTATTTGAATTCTGGATGATTTGATTTCCAACGATTACCCTCTGGTTACAATTATAGCGAGACTCGCTCGCTAACGAGTGTCCTCAGGTACTTCGACCAGGAGCAGAGTTCATTTTTCAACTTTTGGATGCCAGCTCATAGAGCTCGACGAGCTGAGTCTAACGGTATAGGATTCCATATGAGAAAGGGATACCCAAATTGAGTTACAGCGAAAAAACGAAAAAAAACGCGGATCCGCGTTTTTTTTCGTTTTTTTTTTTTCGAACAATTACGGCGATATGATAGGGTTACAGCGACTGCGAAGTATCCTGCCCACCGACTCTTCCGTACAATCATACTCTAGCTATAAAATTTCTCATAAACAAAATTCTCATAAATTTCTCATAACTACATACTTGGAAACGTCCCTTCTCGCCCTTCGATGTGGACTGTAGCTATCAGCTCTGCAAAAATTATTACAGCTTACCGTAACGAAAATCTGCAGCTGACCGCAACCATAATGGGTTGGTGGGATTTATGGCGAAAGCATTTTGGAGGAACATCTCTAACAGCTCTTGAACGGCCAGAATGTTCAGGTGATTTAATCTGAAAAAAGATATCACTGTTCTTCAAAGGTACACCACAAGGGTTCGTATGGGTTCGATGAGCGGAGTAATGGCCGACATCCGACGCAGGAATGCGGCCAAACGAATGAAGAGGGCCTCAATGGCTCCAAGCCCTATCTCCGCCTACACGATCAGCGTGGAATAAAGCCTTCACGACGACCAAGTTGGCCAGAATGAAGCGTTGGCAGCAGCAACCATCCTCCCATTTGCAAAAAAATATAATGAGAGTAACTAAGCAAGGCTACCTGCCACTCGAAGGATGTCTTATGAGAACATATCAGACATTCCTAGTAATCACAAAAAACACTCAATGAATACTGAACTCACTCTGATTCATGTCCAAAAATCTCGCCAAGAGGGAGCGACATACGTAAATGGGGCCTTTTCTTGGACAGCAGAGCACGATTGAAGAGATAGCCAAAGTAGGTGATCAGGAGCGACAGCAAAGACTCGTTCTAAACATACTTTGGTATAAAAAGACCAAGATTTCCCCATTCATTTTGAATCAAGAGAAAACATCGGGATGGGGAAAAAAGACGATGCCAGACGATCCAGGAAAAAAACATCTCCCTAAAATGTTCCAACTTCCTAAAACATTTCTACCTTAGACTGTTTTTGTTCCAGGACCAGGTATCGACGCAAAAGCTGCGTCTTCAGGATAGGGCGGTGCAGTCGGAAGACAACAACCGAGTATCACTACCTTCTAGCCTCGTTTTCGTGCGCTTTTGAGCGGAGAAAGTGGCACGGTACTGCAGGACCGTCCGTTCTCAGATGTGATTGTACAGTTTGTCTTCCAAGTCTCCAAAGCGTAACCTTCAGATTATTCAATGAAAGTCTCACTCGAATAAGCCGCAGGAATCTGGACAATTCGATGACACTGGCTGCACGGTCACGTTCATCTCGATCTCGTCCACGATTCACATCACGTCGACCATTTCGACTGTAATAATCAATGTCATGAAGCAGGTGGCGTTCAGTGTGGTGGTATTCTCTCGATGAGTAAATATTCAGGTGCCAGTACACGCTCATGGAAGGGCGGAGTCAACCAGCCACTATGCCGTTCATATTCTTAGAGCGCACTACAGTGGTTGGATGTCTCCGCCCATGCGATCAGCGTGGTCTATGACTCTAAAATTGTAACATGAAAGTAAGAACGAATAAAACCGAAGGGAAATTTCAAGAGCTTTCTTATCTGACTCACTTTGGCTGATCGAAAATTGGTGTAATGTGCGCGTTGAGGGTGTCACAAACTTTCCGAAGTTGACTTGCATCCTTTCCTGGAGCGGAGCTCATCAAGTAAGCCGCCAGTAACTGTGCCATCGTGGTTGTTATTGACAGGAATCTAGAAAAACTAACTGCTGAAGAGCAAATTCGGTTAGAAATCAGGCTAGCACAGTTTGAATTTCAAAAACCCACTTCACTTCAGACGTAACAAAATCCCAGTCCTCTGCGTTCAGGGCGCGAGCGAACGTCTGCAAATCAAAAATAACTCATAAGAAAATAATTTTACCGTAAGGATGTCCTGTTACGGGCAAAAGACTTGACCACAGAAAGGACCCGAACTTGGACCTCGCTTTGTGGGCAAGTCTCCTTAAATATCGAGGCCATGCTGCCCTATCACCCTAATGATACTGACAGTTGCTTCTAAGGAAACCATGCTCTCTTTCTAGAGATCCTGTGTCCGACCCTTACTCGACATTCTTACGCATAAAAGCTCTGCACAGAGAGTTCCGGTCATACCTACGGCAAAGGGCATACAGCTGATGACGTTGCCAGAACTGTTCCAGGTTTTGTATACTCAGAATCCCTGAGATGCGGTAGGCGTGGCTGCGTATGTGCTTGAATTGAAGAATATTTGTTATCAGGTTGTTCGGTAAGATGACAGTTGCCTTAAATTGAGCTAACCCACGAGTGACCCATCCAACGCCATGTTTAAATGCCACGCCTACTCCATTTCAGGGATAGGAGGAGTGTAAATCTGCTGCAATGACTACACTACCGCAAGTGTACATCAGACCGGAACACTCCATAAGCTCCTTTTGGCAACAAGAAACGATACGTCATCAAAATTTGAGTGTACCGATTCGCAAATATTTTTTATCTCTATAGTTTTCCTTTTTTATCTATGAACGCAGAGACGCAAAGCCCTCTGCTCGTGCGCTTTGAAGCCTGCCGACAGACTCCCGGCAGGATAGGACAGGACAAAAACGTCAAAGCATGAAAAATGCCCTACAGACTGAAGCTCCACAAATGTAAAGATCGTGCGCTAAAAACAGGGTGATTGGAGTACTTCACACAAAAAAAATTATCCTAGAACCACTACTCCACAGGCTTAGCCAGATGCTGCCATTCTAAATCGTTAAATTCGCCCTACAGGACAAAAATAGAGCACATCAAAGAGGGCCTGCACTTGCATAGATGGTCTTGGTCTGTTAACCACCCTGATCTCTCGACCTCTTTTCTCCCACGTGGGAAAAGCTGCGCTGAACATTCTTTCTAATGGCGTTATTTTCTTTCCAACCTGCGATTTTTTTATGACGGAAGGTGGGGGGAACGCAATTTTCGGCCAAGGCTGCGTTTCAGACCTTGGAATATCGCCGCGCGTCACAGCGCCGTGACGCGCTGCATTGTCAATATACGCTCTAGTGCTACATGACGGTAAACACAGGAGCTGCACGGCGGTGTGTGGATCGGCACCTGCTGCGTTGAATTTTGAAGGAGAGTACACGAATGACATAAAGGCAGGCGCTGGCTAAAAACCTCTATATGCCCCTCTCCATTTTCTACACTCTCTGAAAAGCACCAGCGGCCGTGCTCAATGGCGATACCTGATTCCGACTACGTTGCCATTCCATAGATTTGAGGCGGTTTGCATTACTAGGCGGTCGTCACACGCTCGACTTGTAGCCGCCGCCTTAAGTCCTGAACAGGCTGCCCCGACAATTGCTCCCCACACGTTGAACCTCGATGCTGGCCAAAGACGCCAACTCCGACCTTGTATATTTTCCCAAAACGCGAGACTCCCCGTCGTCCTCGCACATTCATCTTGAACAGTTTTTTCAGGGATCTTAGCTGACGCTCATCTTCAACCGCATCGGATTCATCATGAGAAAGAGCTCTTGACGAATGGCACTGTGCTTGGACTTTTACAGCCTAAATAAGTATACCACTGTCAGGGGTGGATTGCAGAGCACTTTTCAACAGTAACCTTACAGAGACCCAATCGCACACCACCCCACTAAACCCACCAAAACCCGCGCGTCAAAAATGCCGAAGAATCATTTAATAGACTTCAAAAGCCCAGTTGTGGAGCTTTCAACCTCCAAGGACAGGCAGTCATCACGTTCCTCATTGCGGGCGGAGCCAGGAAGCGCCCTTCCTATTATCAACACGTTCTTCTAGCAGTAAAAAAAGGGGCAATCTAATGAGGAACGTATACTCTTGTTCGCTGCGAATGGTGGAGCATGTCAAGGGACTGAATATGGCGCACCGCCAGCCCGTTTCCCCACTTGTTGTCGCTTGCCCTCTTCACAACTGGTAAAGTACAGAGTTACGCCGCACGTGGTTTCCCTGACACGCCCCACCATCCGTGCCGGATAAGAAGGCCGACTCCGCTCACACGATGATTCACTATAACAGCTAGAAGTGATAATGTTCACAGAAAGCATGGGAAAAATACCTCTGTCAACATAACAATTTGGCTGTTCTGAACTGGTAGACCAAACTCAATCCAGTAGATACCGCATTGTGCGTCCCATTCTGTGCGGTTCTGGAAATAACGAATTCATTGAAGCAACTTATTCATTTTATTTCAAACCGGACCCGAGCTTTTCCGCTAGGTTTCTATAGGTCCTCAGACCACTAAACTATTAATGGAATGGGAAACCTTCGGTTTATTTCCAGATACTGCGGCCGTCACTTATTAAGGAATTCCAGAACGTAACTCCAGCCGTAATGAACTTTCTATCCGACAGAGGGTAAGCCCTTGAGCGTTGATCAACTCCCGTCTGGAAGCGCCCACCTATTCGAGTTAAAACCGGAATCCTAACGACACAAATCTCAGTATGGGACAAATCTCATTGGAAAACCACTGCGATTCGCGACGGAAGTAGGCGGAAGAAGCTCAGCACAAAAAAGGACTGATGGGCGCCAAGGGCTTTCTCAAGCTCAACTTGGCTTTATATGCGCAAGTGCCAGCTTTTCTGCTCAACCTGCATATCAGGGCGATGACTTTTTAGGAAAATATGACTCCGCTTCGAAATAGTATCTGGTACCGATATGACAGTGTGGGGCGACGTCCAACTCGCGGCGAGTGCGATGGAATAGCCATTGCAAGCGGGTGACGTAGGCAGTATTCGTTCCAGGACCCTATCTACTGAACGTAGCAGCGCTACGGCGCATAGACTCTCTCTCAGCGTCTGCGTCTCTCGAATCGACTCGCTCTTTCTAAGACTGTGTCTGTCTAGTTAACTACCTGGTAAATACACTGCTTCTAGGCGCGATGCCGCGACTGGGAAGTGACGCTCCACACCCTCAATAATCAATAGTCTTACCCTCATTTCAGCGAGTTGATGAAGTTTCGCTAGGAGAACTGCATGAAATTCGTTGACCGGACGGGTGATCAGCACGCATTCCGCCAACATTTCTGGCATGATGAACTGAAATTACTCTTATTTGAGGAGAAAAAGAGCTTC